CCTGTGCATCCATGTTCAGTGTGTGCATTTAGAGCTGATGAGCGAGTAGGACACAGATGCTTCATCATGCCACACCCCTTTAATTAATCCTTAATCATTGATTCACATCTATTGCATGTCACTCAAGTGTTATTTTTTTCCACAACATTTACCTTATATTTCAACATGTGCTGTTCGTTGTATGACTTCAGAGAGGATGTGGTTATGGTGTGACAGAAAGGAAGCTTTGCTGTAGATGGGAAGATAGAGCTCAAAGCACCTACGCTACCTCTTAAACTTTTTTTTTTTTTTTTTAATTAACTGTCTTCTTTCTTGTGTTTCTCTCTTTGACGGGTGCTCAGCGTAGACTTGCCATGTCCTGGGAGACAAACATCCTTGGCTCAGCCATGAATAACTGTGTGCTCCTGGAGGAACTGCTGATCAAGAAATCCCAGCAGAAGAGAAGGACTTCACCCTCCAACTTTAAAGTGCGCTTCTTTGTCTTGACCAAATCCAAGCTGGCTTACTACGAACATCGCCACGGGGTATGTCAGTCACTTTCTCTCTCAGAGTAATGMAAGGAAGGATGAAATTTGTTAAAGGAAGGGGAGGATGCTGGTGGAGGGCAGGATTATCTTTGTTAAGTTTTGTTAGCTGTTCTGGTCCTCGCTACAGAACCATGCACTGAAAATTGGTCCAATTTAGAGCTTCTGATCAGTGGGCATTCGGTGTGCACAGAGGAATAACATTACTTTGCCAGTTTCTAGAAAGGATCTAGTTTTGTTGTAGAAATAAACTGTAATAACCAGGGTGTGCAGGAGCTGTGTGAGGCTGYGCCTGGCACCTCACACGGGCACAYGGAGAGGCGTWTTCTGAAGGTCACAAGTGTTCYCTGATTGCATCTGGGAARAAAGTTATRCACAGATCTTCACTCTCATTCTTTTCTTCAGGGCATCAGGGTGATGGCTGGTAGGAGATCCATCTTGCATTTAAAAATAAATTCAGCTGCCACGTGGAACAAGTCTGGCCCTTGGAGCTGTGACGATGAGATCCAGGCTCAGGGCAGGCTTTGCTTCCCCAAGCTTCCATTTTGCTGATTCACTAAGTATGAAGAAAATTAGAATTCAATCTGTGCACCCCATTGTGTTTAGTGCTCCAGTGAAGTGAGAATTATTTCCTTCTATTAGGCTGGATGTTTGCTGAGCCTCGTTACAGTTGTAAATAATATTGCTTGTTTTCCAACAGTCACTGAACATGCTGTTAATCCATTATGTTCAGGCACTGCTCCTGTAGGCAGAGCAGAACTGGATCCAGCACAGGCAACTTCAGACCATCTGATCTTGCTCAGTTGCAGAAAATTAAGTAAAAACAGAGCCCAACAAAAAAATAAAAGTATTATGTGCCCTCCTCGTGTTTTGTCATTACCTGTTTGGGGTTATAAAGCAGCTTTGAAGGTTAACACTTATTTTTCCCTGCATGTTATTTCTCTTAAATATGTCCAATGAAATGTTTTTCTTGCTTTTATTTTATAGTTCATGTTTTTCTTGCTTCCATTTTAAAAACAGGACACTATTCATTGCTGCATAATGTGACTATGGTTTGGACTATCTTTGTCTGTTCTCCAAATTTTTTTTCAAATGTCACGTTTGTAAGATTTTGAATTCCATGATAACTATTCCACTAAATTGTTTGGGGTTAAATTCTGAAAAGCATCTAATGATTCTGCTGCAGGTGTTTACAGAAATCTTCCCAACAAGTTTTCTTTGGTGCTTTCTGAGTCTTGGTGGACTTGAGAATAATTCAGCATCCACTAGGCTTACATATTTTTGCAGTGTCTTGTCAGAATCTTGAGGGACTGAAATAGTTTGGAAAATTTGACTTGGTGACTTTGCAGTGGGGCATAGAATTCACACATTGTGTTTGCTGAGATTTTCCCTCTTTGTCTTCCAAAAGGTCATTTAGGTGAGATGAGGGCACCCTGGGCATAAATTCAGGTAAAACAACTACTGAACTGCTTAAAAGCTTGAGAAGTCCCACAGATTTCAGTTGGATGACTTAAAGTAAAATACACACGTATGACTTAAGCCCTGTTTTAAATATTCTGCCTGTATTTAACAGGGTTTAGCACCAAGTCTTTCTCTGCATTTTGAAACTGTGGGTATAAAGAGATATTTAAGAACGTGTACTATCAGTGCAAAACAAGGTATTGCAAAACAAGCAGGCCAAAAGGGGACAGGGATAATTCTGCAAATGATACCAAAAGCTGTTGAGACAACTGACATCATAAAGGCAATTTTTTGCCATAGCTGCAATGGCATTTTTCATTGCAATTTTTGCCTTTCTGCCACAGCTGACAGCGAGCACTGTTCTCCTCAGGGGCCAAGCACACAGTCACCCTTAATGTTAATGAAAGATATTTGCATGTCTCATTAGGAGAATGAGCCCCCAATAACTGACAACAATAAGAAACTGTGTTTTCTGGAATTCATTATACACTGCACAATGCAGGGCTGTCTTAATATAAAGCAAAGCCCTGATAACAGGCACATGAATTCAGCCCCCTCTCTGCTAAAAGACATCAGAAGTGCCTTTATTACAACATGCAAATCTATTCCAAAGGCAAAAATTATTTGTTTCAGGGTCTGATTTTGTAGCTACTGTACGTGTGAGTAAACAAGTGCATGGGAATAATAATTTTAACTATTTCAGTGAGTTTGATCCTCATTACAATAATGGATAATGCAGGCACTGGGGAAGTGTCTGGGACAGAATTCCGAATATCCTTACTTAGACTCAACCAAAGTATTTAAACTGGTGAGTTATCTATATCCCATTCACCCGACACTTACAGCTCTTAGCAAATCTTTCAGGCACAAAAATATTTTGAAATTTTATACCTTCATGCACTTGTGGGCTATTATTAGTCCAGCAATGAAAGGCTCACAGAGAAAAGGCCGAGTTCTCCTTTCATTTATATCAGCTCAGCTCTTCCTACACTGGTCAGATGCTCAGGAGGTCACACAGAATGAGTCAGCCTTGTCCTGGGCTCTTTCATTCACATCTTTGATCCTCAAATCAAATCAAATCATTTCTATCCTTGAGATAGAAATGGCAAAGATGGCACTTTAGTGTGCCTTGAAATCTGTTTTCAGGCTCTTGTTCCAGGAGAACAAACGAATAAACTTGGCTGAAAAGACTTTTATGAGCATCCCAAAAATGCTTTAGCTGTTCTGTTGCTTTATCTCCACATTGGGTTCTTGCAGCAATCCAGCTGCCCACAGGAACAAAATCAATGTTTTGCTCCTCAGTCCAGTCCCTTTTACCTTGATTATTCTTACACAGAATCCATCTTGTCCACCCTGCCATGGAAAGAGTTGGTTTTCTCCCCAGGACTGATGTAACCAGACCAGGGTAATGCCTGGTTTGTGAGCAGTAATTCCAGTTTTTGGTCCTGCTGGAGGACTGTGATTGTTTTTTATCTGCTGAGGATCTGCTGAGCTCTGGCTGTGATCCAGACCCCAATGTTGTGCTATCACATGAGATTATGAGGAGCTTCCATTGCTGAATTGTGCTGTTAAAAGGAGCACAGTGGGTCATGAGAGCTGCAGGACAACTGCACAAAGCTCCTTGAGGAGACTTTCAGCAGAACCCAGAAAAGCATCAACAAAAACCAAAGTGCAGGGACAGAACAGAGCCTGTGCCTGGCACAGCATCGCTTCCTAAAGCCTTGGGGGAGGAATGCATGTGGGTAAACCCCAGCACTTCAAAGGAATGAGATGAAGGAGGGCTCAGTGCTAGCAAAATTGAAGGTTTTTATAGGATATAAATGGCTTTGTGTCTCATCAAAAGGGTAGGAGTCCCAGGAGGAGAACAAATGACAGAGGAGGTTTTGCAGAAGAGACAGAGGAAAGCCAAGTCTGAAGGAATGAAGTGAATAGATAAGAAAGGAAATAGATGGTGAAAATGGGATGCAGTAAGGCTTTCTAAGGCCAGCCAACTCTCTAGAGTTAATTGGTATTTACATTTAGGGGTGCTTCAAAGCCTTGGGTTTATTGATTTAGAGGAATCCCACACCCCACAGAGCCACACAGGCAGATGTTGTCCACAGGAGACAGTCCTGGCAGAAAATCCAGAGACACTGGTTAAACTGCCAGCACAAACACAAACACAAACCCCAAATGCACCAGCAAAGGCCAGCAAGAGCCATGTGAGACCACACTGTAATAATTTCCCTCTTTTGCCTCAAGTCCAGTCATAGAAAGGAGAAATATTCAGCCAGTGGTGCAAGGATTGAGATCTGATGAGCCTCAGGGCCTGTGTTTTGGGGCTGTTTGACAGGGAACTGTGGCAAACATCACCCCAATCTCCAGAGGCACTGCTGCTGCCTTGTTTTAAGCTGAATTTAACCATGAAAGGCAGGGGAGTGGCAGTGGGGGGTGGCACAGTGGTGGGGACAGAGCTGCAGGATGGTGCTGGCAGAGGGAGCCAGGGGCAAGAGGGAGCTGGAGGGTGTAAGACACAAACATTTGGGGTCCAAGGAAGGGTCAGAAGGTTGCCAAAGCCCTGCTGAGGCTCTGAGTGATAACCTGTGACAGGTACAGTGCAGCAGCTGAAGTTCAGGCTCCCTCCTGCTGGCAGTGTTTGGAAAACAGAAGCTTTGCAGTGTTTTGCTGTTCTCAAACCTCACTGATTTCCGTCACCCTGTCCCAAAGCTGAGCTGGTGTTTAATCCCTATGAAAATGAATCAAAACAGGAAACCAGCTTGCTCTGAAGAGCAAACCCATGGGTAGTGGATCCTGCAGAAGCATCAGAGGCTGAGCCTTGGCTCTGCTCCCCCCGGCTGCCCTCACCCCTTGATGCAAAACCCAAATGCCACTGGCCAAGGAGCCATGGAGTGAGGATCCCACAGGGAACAGGGGATACCAAGACAGCTGGGACACTTGAATTTCCATTCTTTTTATTCTTTCCTCACTGCCCATACTGTTATTTGGGTATCTGGTATATGGTGAATAAAAGCACAGCAGAGGATGCCAGAGAAACAGCTTTGTTGGCAACTTTTTGAGGATACTATTAATTTCAAAATTTGCTGTTGTTTTTTCCTTAGCTGAAAAGCCAGACAAAACAAAAACAGAAATGTTGTAGTTTTTTGGAAAACAGATGCAGTAAAAATGTACATTTTGGATGAAATGGATAGTTTTGAAATTCTCAATACCCAAACATTYTTAAAATAAAATATTTGTTTATATCTTTTCAATATGAAACAGGAGTGTTAGCAAGCAGAACATTTAGTGAAAACAGTTCTTTTTTGGCTAAAAAGGGATTTCATTTTGCTGGAATAAAAAAAGTGAGAGCTGAATTTCAACCAAAGTTTTGACTGGTTCTCCAAGAATCCATGTGCTGAATTAAAATATGTGTATCTGCACACATGTATGTGGATATGTGCATGTGTACGTGAATCCATATAGAGGTGCCTATGTAAGAATGATTCTTTATATTTTTAAATGTCTTACATAATCAGTTAATTCACTTCTGCTCTATTAAAACTAAATCTCCCATGGACACAGCAGTCAGGTCTAATTATTCACTTAATCCACAATCATTAGCATCAACCAAATGCTTTTCTCTGTCTTGTAGAAAAAAAAGACTTTGAAGGGTTCTGTGGAACTTTCCAGGATTAAATGTGTGGAAATTGTGAAGAGTGACATCATCATTCCCTGTCAGTACAAATATCCTTTCCAGGTGAGTCTGTCTGTTGGCTGTACTGAGAGAGAAATCACTTCATTTTGTATTTCAGTAATATTTCAGTTGTTAATGAACCAAACACCAGGTTCTGGATCAGAACCCCTTCTCCAATTTAAATCATCAAAAGTCAGTGAAGTTGAGATGTTTCTGAACAGTCCCTATTGCTCCCCCTCCCCACATCATCATTTTGCTTGGCAAGAGGGCTGCTGCCTCTTTCCTTTGGTGCCCCCCTTGTGACCAATGACTCTGGGGTTGCTTCTCATGGCTGGCTCCTTTCTTCCCCCCCCCTTCTCCAGATTGTCCACGACAGCTACATCCTCTACGTGTTTGCACCCAACCGGGAGAGCAGGCAGAGATGGGTCCTCACGCTGAAGGAAGGTAAAAACCCCCTGTGCCCTCCTGACTGGGGAAGGTGCTCATGTCTGACAAGTTTTCTCACAAATAATGCACAGAAAATGTGCAAGAGGAGTCGATGTCTCTCCTCTCAGCAGGCAAAATGGTAGTGGGTAAAAAAAAAAGGAATTGCTTGTCAGTGTAGAGGTGTGTTTTCAGCAGCCGTGGGGAATTTGGATGTGGAATGGTTTCTTTGGGGACATTAATGTCTTCAGTGTCTGCAGGGAGGTGTCAGAGCATGGACCAGGCTCTGCTTGGCAGTGCCAAGCATTGGGACAGGAGGCAATGGGCAGAAACGATGCCCTGGATGTGAGGAAGAACTTCCCAGTGCAGTGACCGAGCACTGATTGCCCAGAGAGGCTGTGGGCTCTCCACATCCAGAATATTTGGATGGATATTCCAGAACCATCTGGATGCAATCCTGTGCCATGTGCTGTGAGATGACCCTGCTTTGAGCAGGAAGACAGGACCAGATGACCCCACTGTAATCCCTTCCAACCTGACCCATTCCATGTTTCTATGATTTGTGTCTTTCTAGAATAAACTCTTAATAAGTTGCTGTGATTTGAGGTTTCTTATTCAGGAACAGACGAGGATTTTCCTGTGGCTAATTTTTTTAAATAACTTTTTCAGCTCTGATTAACAGATTTTTTTGGTTAAATTACAACCTTTTTAGAGGATCATGATTATTAAGGAGCATTTTTGTGGGTAGCTTTCATTTCCTGTTCACCTCCTGAGTTGTGCCGTGGTTCTCTCCCATGGTGCTGCAGAAACCAGCACTGGGGGCAGAAACAGCAGAATGAAGAAGGTGTTAGTTGGTTACGTAAAAACTGCAACAGGCTTCTCTCATAGCTTTTTTTTCTGTTTTACAGCACTGCTGCTGTATTGTTCCCTCTGAAAACATTGTGCACTTCATGCACTGACTCTTGCAATATTATTATTCCCCTACCCCCAGCTTCTACTTTATCACCACTTCTCATTCAACATTTTGAGACTGTCCTCTCTCCTGGACAATTTGAACGGTCTCTTAAAACAGGCCTGCAGAATTTTTTTTTTTGTTCTTCTGAGGAAAATTATTATTATGACAGATAGAGACCCTGAGCTTCAGAAAGAAGGATGGTAATCACTCACACAGGCATTCAAGACTGGTGTTTACATGTGCAAAAAATGGTGAATGCTGGTGAATGCCAGCTTGTGCAGCTCCTTCTGAGCACCAAGGCAAACCAGCAAATATCCTGGGAACATCACTAAATGGCCTGCTGGGTTTTATTTCTTTTTGTGTGACACTCCTTCTTTGGTTTTGGTGTTTTATCATTTTAGGGAGACTCACACTTGTATTTTTCTGTTCTACCACACAGAGAGACATGGGTTCCATCACCAGCAGGAAGATTATTGCTCCACATTGATGGTGGCATTCACTCCTTTTGGGAGAAAGGAAAACATTAATGGAGGAAGTTGATAATGCTAACCAAAGCTTAGCTTGAAAATAACAGRAAGCTTCTTTAACAAGTTTATTTCYATTTAGTTCTAGATTGCTTTTAGAACTAATGTGTATGCAAATAAATTCATTTTCCCCCTACTTTTTCTTCCCCGAATGTTTTTCAGAAACCAGATACAACAACAGTTTGGCTTCAAAGTGTCATCCAGATTTTTGGTTAGATGGCAAATGGAGATGCTGTGCTCAGACAGAGAAGATGGCAGCTGGCTGTGTGCTGTATGACCCCACCAAAAATGGTAAGTGACTTATTAAAACCATCCTGACATAGAAAATATTTATTCCTAGCAAAAGTAAAGAATCAAATCCATCTTGTAGAGAACATAAAAAAAATATTATGTTACATTGCCATAAAAAGACATGCTCCTGGATTCTTGAGCTGTTCTGGCTTATGTTTTACTGCAAGTGGTTTGGTTTTGTGGGGCTTTTTTTTTAAATTCACATTTTCTTTGGTATGATGCTTGATGCTGCTTTTGGAAGGAGATGGAGAACTAAGAACTTGATCAGCTGTGGTCAGTCAAGAAGCCATAACAACTTTCTCGAGATAAAGGCACCCAATTGTGTGTGTCCAATTTTCACAAAACCGTATTTCCTCTGTGGTTTCAATGGCCAAACCTAATCTTCACTTTGTATTCTGAAAAGGAATACAAGTGCTCAATCATTCATCACCAAAGGAACATTGACCTTGTATTTTGACCTTGATTCTTTAATCAATCTGTAGCCCAGTGTCCATTGAGATTCCCTGTGAAGTTTGCAGGGCTCGCTCTCTAAGCCCAAAGCTCGCTCTTCAGGGGGGTTGCATCACCTGCATCAGTGCTTTACTTTGGTGGTTTCTCCCTCGGTTTTGTCCTTATCTGCTTCAAATTATCTTTCTTGATTTCATTTCAGCCTCGAAGAAGCCTCTTCCTCCCACTCCTGAAGATAACTGGGTGAGTGCAGTGGGGCTGTCCTTGGTGTCCTGTCCTGGTTAACTGCCAGTGGGGAGTGTGTCCTCATTTAATGTCCACCATGGTGCAGTGACCTAGAATTTCACCTGGGATAACATTTCCTGGGCATCTTCTGTGCAAACTGAAGTTGTTATATGAAATTCATTGTTTGAAAGTGCCAAAGATCCTCATGCTGCCACCAGATCCCACGAGATGCTCTGGGGTGCTGTGAGGCCTTTGAGCCCAGGGGACGCCAGTGCTGCCAGGAAAATATCACTTTAGAGAGCGTGCCATTGCTTTTTATGAATATAAATATGAATATGAGCATGAATCTGATAAGCCTTTTGCCTAATTTGTGTAGAAATTGTTGCTAGACCCAAAGGAGGCCGTGGTCATAGCCATATATGACTATGAAGCCCAGAACCCACAGGAGCTGACCCTACAGTGTAATGAGGAATATTATGTGATTGACAGCTCTGAGGAACATTGGTGGCTGATCCAAGATAAGAATGGGTAAGTCCCTTTTCCACAGCCAGTGTACAAATCCTTTCTAATTCCAGTTTGTTCTTCCATTAACATGCAGTTGAATCCCTTTTGTTTAGCTTTTGTGAAGCATCCTCCTATTTACAGGGGAAAAGTGGTGGGAGATTATTTAGGATAATAAATAATATTATCCTATGATTTTTATTTATTATAAAAAATTATTTAGGATAATAAATAATCCAAATTATTTAGGATAATAAATAATCCAAATTATTTAGGATAATAAATAATACTTTGCTGTGGCTGGTATTCAGGCAGCTGAAGAACAGGATCTGAAAGTTGATTTTAAAACAGTAAACAGTCCTTAGTTCAGACCAGTATTTGCAGTGATACATGGCGGGGGGAAATGATGAAACCCTCCAGGTTTAGAGGTGCAGTCTGTTATTTTCTTCTCCAGTAACCCTACTCAATATCTAACACCCAGCACTTCTGTCATGCAGTGAGCAGGCAGAGCTTTCAAGGCAGACTCCTACAGATGCAGAGAAAATCCTGTCTGTCAGCACCCTCACACTTTTCTTGCCTCTCAACAGGCATGAAGGCTACGTGCCAAGCAGCTACCTGGCGGAAAAATCACCCGAGAATCTGCAAATTTATGAGTAAGTTGTGCCTGTGTTTTTTCTGTACYTCGGAGYGCCCKGGATTTGAAACTACAAATCTCAAAYGCCCCAACCCTCCTCAYRTTCCACCCTGTCCCAGTGGGGACACTCCTTTCAGAAACTTTTCAGGAGAAACTTTCCTGGCCTAGAAATGCTGACTCAAAGTCTTTTGGTGTTTTCAGGTGGTACAATAAGAACATCAGCAGAAGCAAAGCAGAAACACTGCTCAGGGATGAGGTAAACCAGTGTTTGTGCATGGGGTGGATGGGAAACAATAATTAATGAATGGCAAACGAAGCCTGTGAGGGCTGTTTTGTGTGAGAGAGATGAACCCTGGGTTCCTGCTGTGTTTGTGCTCTTGGTGTGTGATGTGAGATAAAGGACCACCAGCACACCCCCCTTATCTCCTCATTAACTGAGCATGGACAGAGCTGTGCCACCCAAACACTGCCAAAACTCCGCTTCAGACCACGGTGCCAGCTGAGAACTCTGATTTTAGCTCATCTTTTCTGTCTCTGCAGGAGGACTGTGGATGCCAGCAGTTCTCTGAAAATCTAACCAATCTTGTGCTGAAGTATTTTGGGTGAAAGCCAAGAGTATGGCTCTGGGGTTCGTTTTTTTAATTGTGCATGTAAGCACACATCTTTAATTTTTCAGTTGAGCCAGAGCTTTCCAGTGAAGATTGTACTTAAAAATACAAAGAATAAGCTTCTTGTTCAAATTTTCCACACAAACACAACCTCAATTTTTAAATCAACTCTTGCATTAACAGGTGGCTCAACTAAAGTGTTGTTTCTTGGAATGGTAATGTTTGGTGGAAATAAGAGCATTTTTGTGTGGTTTTGAAAAATCTTATATAAACTATTACAGGACATGTCCACACATGGTTTAGTGATTTTTTTCTTTTCGTCCTAACAGTGCAACTTTTCTGTGGTAGCTAACCCCATGTGGCTGCAGAGACTTCTGGTTCAAACCCTTGCAAACCTCACAGCTCCCCCCAGACACGTGAGCAAGGTTGTGAATGATCTTTAGCCAGGCTTGGTGTCAAGTGAGAACAGAAGGAAGGGCAAGAACACAGCTCAGAGTGGCTTGGGCAGGATGCTGTCTCCAAAACTTGCCCACCTCCAGTCCTAAAGCCTCACTGTGCGTGATTAGAAGCTTCTACAGCAGCAGAGAGACCTTTTTTAGAGCTTCCCTTTGTCAGATATTCAAAATCAGGCATTTTGAATGCCAGATGAAAAGCATCTTTACCTGCAAACAGAAGGAAAAATGCTGGGGTTATTGCCAATATATAGGTCAGTAGAGCACATTCCATCCAAATTGTGGTGTTAAATCTTCTTTGCCATCTAATCCATCTGGCTCTGTGAGATCATGGCCTATGAGACATTTTAGCATTCAGATGAGTAGAAAACAATTGCAGTGAAAAGTTAAAAAGGAAAATTGTTCTGTAAGTTCAGGGAAACTGCTTTCCTACCCATTTGTGTTTAGATACTGGATGACTGCTGGGTCTGTGAAAGGGCAGGATCATGTCCAGGTTTTTCCAATTTGTGGTACACGGGTGAATTATCTTTCATACACTCCCATATGGATTTTCTGGTGTTGGATAAACTCTGATTTGTTCTGTGGCTGCTGGCTCAATGGGGAGCACTCAGAGGGGTTTGCCTTCCCCCTCGACCTTCATGGAACATGTGCTCGGTCAGACAGGGCTGAGGACAGCCAGGGATTCAGAATTTCCAGAGGAGAGCCCTGGAGGGGCAGAGAGGCACACCCACACGGGCTCAGCACGAGTGCCTAGGTCTCATTTCCTCTGAGAGGAAGCAGAGCTAAAAGCACTCAACACCAAGACCTGCAGAGCCCAGCAGCCACAGAGCTGTGCATGGAACACACCAAGCTCTGCCAGCGGGGTGATGGCTCTTTTTTTCCCTCCATGTTTAGCACATTCTCATGACAGGGCTGAAATAAGCACAGCTTTGCCCCTAGCCTGTTTATTTTTAAWTTTTTTTTTCCATTATGTCTTTAACCAGTTTTCTCTCCTTTGCTCTTTTTACAGGGTAGGGAAGGGGCTTTCATGGTGAGAGATTCGAGGCAGCCTGGCATGTACACAGTCTCTGTTTTCACCAAAGCATTAAGGTACAGCTGAGCTCAGCAGCTTTGCACATCAATTACATCAATGAAATGGCTCCTATGAGTGTGTAATCTCTGTGTAGTTGTTTTGGCATTATAATGAGAGAGCAGAAGGCTCATGGAAATGATAGAGGGAAAACACTTCCAAAAAAGGCAGAAGAGTCAGCTGCCAGTCCCAAAGTGTATTAAAGGCTCCATTTCTCCCTGCATTTAAAAATGTGCCTATAAATGGTCCCTTGGACATCACTGGGGTTGTCACTCTGATGGCATTGTCCCCAGAGCTGAAATGTTGGTAGGATCAACATGGGCTRGGTGCTGGACTCATCAGAGGTGGGAGTGCAAGTGAAAGGGTTTCAGTGAAGGGGCAAAAAGTTGTGTTTGACAAAGAAGAGGCAGAGGAACTCAGTACTGAACCTTCCTTMATCAGGAAACCTCAGCTTTTCTCTCGAGATGAGACCCTCCACGAGTGCGAGGGAGAACACACAAGCACACAGATTTAATGAGCACCTGCAGCTCACTCCTTGCTCCACCCCCATCCATTCTGGGCCAAGATTCTCCTTTTTGCTCATTTGTTTCTGTTTATACCCCAGATCCCTGCCCTTTTGCTGCAAGCTGTTTTCTCTGAAAGAAAACCTCCTCTTTTTCAGCACGGACAACAATCCTGTTATAAAGCATTACCACATCAACGAGACAACCGACTTCCCCAAGCGATACTACCTGGCAGAAAAGCACGTGTTTGACTCCATCCCTGACCTCATCAACTACCACCAGCACAATGCAGCAGGTGAGGGCAGCTGCTGCTGAGCAGAGAAGTTGCTGGTTTGCCAGGTGACTCTTTTGAATGAAGGAGGGCTCCCAAGCCTTCTGTCCTTTCAATGAAATTGGTTAAATGGCATCACCTTTTCTCCCAGTTATTCTGAAATGACCATTTCAGCCCAGTTTCCAGCTTTACACCCTCACTCTGATTGTCCTCCTGAGGCTGCCCATGGCMAACACAGATGTCATAATGACATGTTTTAGAGAGCCCTGGGGTGCATCACCTCTGCTAGGCCAAGCTATCTGTTGGAATTACACTGCAGGGCATTCTTGAGGTGATCTATCCTTGGGCCTTGATTTAACAAACCAATTTTAACAAATTCAGGGACATGCCAGGATCCATAGCCAGACATGGTGAGTCCCATCCCCACAGTCCAGGAGTACCAAGGGGAACACAGGGCTTCCAAAATACCCTGTAAATACAAAGCATCATTTGGTAAATCCATCAGAGTTATTAGAGACTCACGGCTCATATTTGTGGGTGTGAAAACAGGAAATAAGCTGAAATSGCTCAGAATTGGCTTCCTTCTCCCAGGCAGGAAACCAGAGCCTGCACAGAGGTTCAGCTGCCCTCAAGTGGAGCTGAGACCTCAGTACAATAAATCTGCTTCCAGAATCCAAACTGCCCTGTGGGGTGGTGGCCGTGGCACTAACAGGAACCTGTCCCTGTGTCCCCAGGTCTCGTGACACGGCTGCGACACGCCGTCTCCTCTTGGAGGAAAACAGCYCCCATCACTGCAGGGCTCAGCTATGGTAAGGCTTTCTCATGGCTACATGGGAATCACACTCCTGGCTGGTCAGATCCTGCACATCTCCATGGATATTGATGAATGTTTGTGTGATCACAGCCACAATAAGTAGCTTTTTTCAGGTCTTTACACTGCACCRTTCTCCAGATTGTCATCTTTGTGGTGGCCCATGATAAATGAATGAACTGATGGGAGGTGATGAGAGCCCCAGGATCTCAATGGAGTCAACATTAAATACTAAAATGAATGCTGAACAAAGGGGATGGAAATGGGAGCTACAATAGTTTAATGAAAGCTGAGTCATKCATGAAAGGAATTTGAAAATTGTTGTCAATAGAATTTTGCTGGTCTCATCTTTATTGTAATTCTTGGAGACTTCAGAGAAACTCAGACCCCACGTTGTGTTGGGTGCTGCATGGCAGAAATAATCCTCCCTGAAGAACTGGATAGGCAAGACAAAGAGGGGGAAAGAAGCTGTTCTTGTTCCTACCCTTGAACACGACCTGCAGCATGGGCTAGTCAAATGARCTATCAAAGGTCAGACAGGCAATTTGAGGGAGAGCCAGAAAGTCTCACTTGGAGTCCTGTCTCAGKGTTTCATCCACAAAAGCTTTTTGTTTGGCATTCTCCTCCTCCATCCTTACTCTTTCTTCTTTATCATCAACAGGAAAATTGGTCATTAATGCCTCTGAGCTCACCCGTGTGCAGGAGATTGGCAGTGGCCAGTTTGGGGTGGTCTACCTTGGCTACTTGCTGGGCAAGACCAAAGTGGCCATAAAAACCATCCGTGAAGGAGCAATGTCTGAGGAGGATTTCATCGAGGAAGCCAAAGTCTTGATGTGAGTGGTGGTTTCACCAAGGCAATCACAGCCTGTGGGATTTGTAACACTGAACCGAAGTGCTGCCAGGAATATGAGCAGGGAATTCAAACTTGGATTATCTGCTGTGTATCGAAATAGTAAACAGAGAATTCATGAAGGAAGGCAATTCAAAGTGCAGGAGAATTACTGTGCTTCCATCAATATTCAGAATGGTGTTCCAGATCTCTGCTGTTCTGGAAGGCATGGATAATCAGTGGTGCATTTTGAAGAGCAAAGGGGTTTTTCTCAGAAACAATCTCTTGAAATTTAAGGGCAATTTTATGGAAAAGCCTTCCTATAAAATGTTTCGCTTTGCACAATTGAATACATTTCCCATTGGTTTTATTGACTTTGTTTACATTTGTTTGCATTTCCCCCCAAAGACAGAAAAAAATTGATTTTATTTTTGTTTGATTGGATGATTTTCCATGCAGAAAAAAAAATTTGGCGACCATTACCATTAAAATGGGATCATACTCAGTCTGCACATCTGCCACGCTGGCCTTTGCAGTGAGCAGGGTGGGATAAGCATCTGTACATCACACACTCTCTGTAAGGACAGCAGGCACTGAGCCTGTTTCAGCCTTTTCCACCTTCCCTCCCTACCCCACAGGAAGCTGTCTCACCCCAAGCTGGTCCAGCTTTATGGGGTGTGCTTTGAGGATGCTCCCATCTGCCTGGTGTTTGAGTTCATGGAGAATGGCTGCTTGTCYGACTACCTCAGGAGCCAGCGGGGCAGCTTCTGCCAGGAAACCCTGCTGGGGATGTGCCTGGATGTGTGTGAAGGAATGGCTTATCTGGAACAAAACTCTGTCATCCACAGAGACCTGGTATGTTGGTCTCACATGGGTTTCTTTGCTCCAGGTGGGCTTTTCCCTRTGCTTTCTTCCTTCCTTAATTTCAGCTTCCAAACTTCTCCTGCCTGTCAGTTTTCAGGGGATCCTGTATCTGGCCTTATTGCAAAAGCAGCACAAATAATTTAGGAAAAAAAAAAAAAAACAAAACCCAAGTCCTGGAGCACTGATCAATCTATTCCCCATAATTCTGTTTGGAGAGAAGAAAAAAAGTCTATAAAATTTGTCTTTTTTCCTGAGTGGACTGTTTTGCTCCCCAAGAGCCACAGTACTGATCACTTCATGTCTAAAATCAGTGAAGATGACAAAGACCTGTTCTAGCATAAGTCATGTATAAATATGCATTGATGATAAAATATTTCAATTAGGTGGTTTTAAGTCAGGCCCCATTGGACACTGCTGCTGTTTCTCCAGGGGTGCGATGGCTGTGAGAAGCTGTGGATATTTTAGGGTCTTGTTCTGCCCTTTCTGGGCAAAAAGGGCCTTTAGGTCAGAGTGATGGCTCAATAGCTTTTCTAGCAACAGGACCATGCTGTAAAATGCACAGAAAGCATGAGAAACTCAGAGGTTTGTCCTCTTTGTATGGCACRGTGTCATTTTGGTTTTATTTTTGAGCATTATCTGCTCTGCTAGGCTAAAGAGTGGCTGTGGCAGTGTTTCAGCTCTGATCTGTTGCCTCTGCACTTTCTTTCTTTGCAGGCTGCCAGGAACTGCCTGGTGGGRGAATCCCACGTGGTCAAAGTGTCCGACTTTGGGATGTCGAGGTAAAGCTGCCCAGGCTGCCCCCATCCCTGTGGGGCGGTCATGGGATGGGGGTGGCTCAGCACTGCCCTTCCTTTCCCCTGCCAGGATTGTCCTGGATGATCAGTACACCAGCTCTACGGGCACCAAGTTTCCAGTCAAGTGGTCTGCCCCAGAGGTTTTCTCCTACAGCCACTACAGCACCAAATCTGACGTTTGGTCWTTTGGTAAGAAACTTTTAAAATGGACAAAACCTAACAAACTCCAGCTCAGAAAACCAAGGGGCTCAGTCCTCAAGTAAATTCTTCTCAACACTGCATCCTCAAGGGTGTTTTGCCTGAATAATGGCTTAGAAAAGCAAGCCTRAATCATTTAAGTGAAAGAAAGGAAAGAAAAGCAAACTACCTACTTTGGAACACTGCAAATATTGCCAATTTAATGTATTATACCTGTGCAATGCTGTGTAACACCAAATAATGAA